TTTTTTTTTTTTTAAGTAGGCTCCGTGCCTAACATGGGGCTTGAACTCATGACGCTGAGATCAAAAGTCACATGTTCTACCCACGGAGCCAGCTGGGTGCCCCTGCAGGGGGGCTTTTCTAAAGGAAGAGATACAGTGCCCCTGACCCAGCTGGGGTGCCCCGGGCCACAGTGCCCAGCATGGCATGGCAATGCCAGCCTTGAGAGGGCCGAGCTGGTACATTTGACTGAAGGTGCTTCCGATGATCCAGAGGAGACGACGGGGCGGCCAGGGCAGGACTCCCAGCAGCTGGAGCAGACAGACACCTCCAGGAAGTAGAGCGGCGGTCCAAAAGGCTGGTACCTACTGGCCTGCAGTGGGCCAAATGTGTCGTGCTGATCCAAGGCATGGGGACAAAGGACTGCAGGAGAGCCTGGTGGCTGAGGGCTGGGGGGGGCGGGGTAGGGGTGGGGTCAGCCCAGACACCCCCCAAGGAGGATGGCCAGGGCCTGGTGTCCAGCCCCGCATTTGGTGAAGTAAATTTTCACCTGCCTGTGTACCGGGAATGGGGAGACGCTGTACGGTAGGCTTGGGAGAACACAGGTTTACCTCCACTAATTTATTTACTGAAGCTTATTTCACTTGAGGCCGCCGGGCTCACACTGGCGGGCTCCTGGCCATGAGTGGAAGAAACACAGTGCGCCAACGGACCATGATCACGCTGTGCTGTTGTCACCTGTCCACCTGTCTTTCCTTCTGACAAGACTTTCACGGGGGGCGGGGACATCCTCACGCCCATGGCAGGTGTGCGGCACATGATACACGGATCTTGGAAGCAGGGAGTGAACAACAGTTTATTGTACACGTGACCAGCTCCCGAGGCTGTGGCACTGGGAGTTTTAAGTACTTTACCACAGATCATCCCATTTCAACTCTTACAACAGACTCTCAGGATGAGGTACCGCCAGGCTTATGACCCACGTTGAATAGTCGCCGAGGCCAAGGTTGAGGCTGAGGCCACGTGGCGAGCGTGAGGCTGACTGCACAACCTTCCGGCTCAAGGCCCACCACAGACCTCACTACTTCCCTGGGTTGGGGGGTGGGGGAGCTGGGATTTGGAGGCCGCCCTGAAGAGGTCCGGAGAGACCGGAGTCTGGCATCAGGAGGGGTCTCTGGGGGGGCTGGGGCTGGAGCTGGGGGAGCAGGAGCTTGTCTGCTCTCTCTTCCTGGGAGGGGTCTGGCAGGCCGCCGTGGACCTGGCTGGGAGCGGAGGCTGGCTCTGGGCTGTGCCTCCTGGGTAGGCGTTTAGCGGCAAAGCAACCCAGAGCCAGCCCACGCGCTGCCCCCCTGGGCTGTGGCCACCCCGGCAGTGACCTCTGATCTGTAAGGAAGCAGGTATCAAACCTGGGTGGCTGTGGCCCGGGGACATTTCAGGTGCTTCGTCCCAGAGGAGCATCTGCTCCTAAGCCACACCCAGAAGAGGCTGCGGGGCCTCCTGCACTCACACCTGAGCCGCTGCTGCTTCTTCCAGGCTGGCCTCCGGCTACAGCGGGCTCTGCTGGTCCTACGCACGGCTGCCGCCCCTGACACAGGGCACTGCCTGTCCAACTGATTTTGTGTTTTGTCAGCCTGGGGGCAAAGTATCAACTTCTCCCTAGAGGTTTGGTGACCGCCAGCACCATACAACCCTTGTGGCTGGAGCCTGGGGTGTGTCGGTTCCTCCTTAGTCTCCTTCAGGGCTGGGTGTCCTCGTGTAAGGGGGCTGTCCACAATCTCACAGGGTGACGGAGACGAGGTGCACGGGGCCAGGGCAGGGCTGCGATGGCCTGGTGAGCCGGAAGCTCCTTGAGGAACAGACCATGGCATGCCCTGCCCCTTCTCCCCCTTCCCACGGGCTGGAGGCATGTGGGGCACTTGTTCCGCTGGACGGGAGTGGGAGGGGGGGATGAAACCTAGAAAAAGGACCATTATTCACGGAGCAGGGAGGAGGGGAAGCTGTTCTCAGGATGGGGACTGTGGGTTCGAGGGGCTGGCCCAAGGGGCGGGTTCCTTCCCCCAGGGCTCAGAGAGGCAGTGGGGATGGAGGAGAGAGGGGAGTCAGGCTAGGACGGTGAGGTCCTGGCACGGGTATGGGGAACCCCAGTGTGAACTCCTGATTTGTACAGAGGTGGGGCCGGAAGCCTTTAGGCTATCAGGTAGGGGGATACTTGGCAGGGTTCCTGAGAGGGGTTGGGAGGATCTGGGCAGAGGGAGGGAACAGAGTAGGGGCCTGGGGACTCTGCCTCCTCTGTGCAGCCTAATGACTCATGGCTCTGGCAGGAGGGAGGTAGGCAGGAGGGGGACACGGGGGCGGGGGGCGGAGGGAGTGGTCCCGACCTCCCCACCTCCAAGCTCAGCGAGAGTCCCAGGTTGCACTGTGAGCAGGGGAGCAGCAGCCCACACCCCAGCGCACTGGTCTTCCTGGGTGTTTGGTCCCTGGGAGCTCCCCTGAGCCGAGCCCCAGTCCTGGGTGCCGATGTTCGGCGGCAACCAGACCTTAAACAGCTGCTCTCAGGACTTGGGGTGGCGGTTCCTGGGGCCTCTGGGCATCTCGGGAGCTGGGACATCCAGGGCCTGTCTCCGGATGAGCTCCGCATAGAGCCCACCCTTCTTTAGGAGCTCTTCATGGGTTCCCACCTGGAGAGAGGAAGGAGGGGCAGATGGTCACCCCAACACAGTTCACAGCCCTAGGAGGGCTGGCTTCTTATCAGCCATCGAGCTCACTGTCCTCTCAGCCATCGTCCCTCCTGGAGACACTATGACCCCAGAGCACCGGCACGTCTGAACTCGCTAGTGCCATCTCCCTGCTTAGCTGGGTTTTGGAAGAGCATCTCCCTTATGGAACCCAGAGACTCCAGCTTTCACTTGAGTGAGCAGCTGGGAGCTGGGGGCCGGGCCTCATGCAGCCTCCCGGCCTTGCTGCAGACCAGCCTGTGGAGAACAGCTCCCGGCCAGCCCCTTTCCAGGGTCCCTGGTGCTGCCTCTGCTGTACCTCAGCCCCTAGGCCCCTTCTCCCTGGCGCTCCACACTTCTCTGAGTCCCTTCCCTTCGGTTCTGGGAGTCATGAGGTAGTTCTACTACCCCACGGGACAGTGGAAGAAACGGGCCCTGGGAGGCCAGGGCAGGAATTCCTGAATCCACACAGGGTGTTGCTTCCAGAATATGCCCCAGGCTCCCAGGGCCAGGCCAGACCCTCACAGCTGAGCCACTCTTTCCACTGCGTCCACGGCTGAAACTGTCCCAACCCACTGCCTGGCCCCCAGCTGACCTCACAGACTTGGCCGTGGGCCATGACGACGATGTGGTGGGCCCCACGCACGGTGCTGAGCCGGTGTGCGATGACCAACACCGTGCGGCCAGTGCTGGCGCGGTCCAGGGCCTCCTGCACGACCCGCTCGGACTCTGAGTCTAGTGCGCTGGTTGCCTCGTCCAGGATCAGCACCGTGGGCTGCTTGATGAGGGCACGGGCAATGGCTAGGCGCTGCTTCTGGCCACCAGACAGGGTTGCACCCCGCTCACCTGGGGAGGAAGGGGACAGGGCAGGACCTTGAAGCGATCTTCAGCTCTGCACTTGGGGGCGGCCCTACAAAGGGGCACCTGGGCCGTCTGGAACTTTCCATCTGGTCCCTCAGGCTCACCACCTTGCACCATGCACATTCGCCTGCCTCGGATGGGTCAGCATCCTGATCCCATAACCCTGTGCAAACGCACATGTGCACTCACACCAGACAGCAGGAGGGGCACACACTCGGGATTCAGTGCACCCTGGAGACACCCAATGCCCCTCCCACACCGGGGTGGGGTCTCAGAGCCATGCCTGGGCCTGTGGCTCCAGCTGCCTTCTCCTGGCCTGCTGGGTCTCCGCCACCCTGGGGACGTCCACGACCCAGATGTGGGCCCTGGAGTGTAGTGACGGCTTGCCATGGGGCATTCTGGGAAGATCCCACTTGGGGTCTACCATGCTCACAGGAAAACAGCAGAGAGGGCAGACTGGGAGTGAAAAACAGCACCATGGGGACGGTAGTCAGAGGTCAGCAAGGGCACACTAAAGCCCCAGATGAGCCTGCTAGTGTGCTGGGGTCAGAGGTACAAGGAAGGTGCCTCTTGAGAGGTGTGGGCACAGCACCTCCAGTCAGGGGAGTGTGGACTCTGGGTGGTGACCAGAATGGGCTGGATTAGTAATAGAGCGTGGATGATGGCTATAGACAGGGGTGGTACCACCCCTGAAGCTCAGCCAGACTGAGGCCTAAGTTTCAAGATGCGCCAAGAACCCCAGATATGCCTACACTTTGAGACTTGCCAGAACATTCTGCAACACAGCCAAGGACTGGGGGTGATAAACATGGCCGCAGAGGTTGAAAAAAAGACCCCTTTGTGAATGCACAAAGCCGCGGGCCGCGATGTGACTATTCTAGTGTGAGGCCGCAACACTGCAACGTCCCAGAACCACGAAAGCCCTTCTCTGGGTAGGTCAGAAGGGAGACCTGTTCAGTCACATCAATCCCTGTGGGTAACTAGACGGAAACGCTTTTAAATTAAGGAACAAAAGGGCAGGAATGAAACAGGAGCCTGAAGCACAAGGAATTACAAGAAGATTAGCAGTCCAGTGCTTCTGGTCCCGTCTTAGGACGTGGAGGCCACTGGGAAGCTCTGAAGGTCCCTGACACCACAGACCCCTTGCAAGTGTCCCTGGCCGGGTCCTGCGCCTACACTTTCTGAGGCATCCCCGTCTCTGCAGCCTGCGTGTGGTTGAACGACAGACCTGTGTCTGCCCCCCTCGGCCACGGACCTAGCCTTCCCTGATGCCAGGCCTGTGTCCCTGTGGCATGTTCACGCAGGCCTGGCAGATCCAAGCAGAACACTGTCCCCGGGACTCACCAACTATGGTGTTGTAGCCCTCGGGGAAGCTGGTGATGAACTCGTGGGCATTGGCCTCCCGGGCAGCTGCGTAAACCTCTTCATCCGAGGCACCCAGCTTCCCAAAACGGATGTTCTCCATGATCGTCGTTCCGAACAGGACTGGCTCCTGCGGGTGGCGGGGTGGGTCCACATGGGACATTCTGACTTTGCCCCAAACCCCGGAGGGGGGGCAAAAAGGCGATTATGGCCACACCGGAACTGGCCTCTTGCAAGGCAGGTAGGGGCAATTCAAAGTTACAAGTCCAATAAGAAAAGAGAGATCCGTCAAAGTGGGGAGAGGCCGAGCTCCCTGCAGGGCACAGGGTCCCTCAGGAGTGGGATGGGGAGGTGGCTGGGCCAGCTGGCCTGGCAAAGCCTCTCTTGGGAGAGATGGGGAAGAAGGGGGTGTTCATTCTAGCTTTCTCTGCAGTGGTGGGTTGGTGAGGGTGCCCTCTTTATCCAATCACGGGAGGAGGGTGGACCCTCGCTGGGGAGCACCGCCTCACACAGAAGGAAAGAAGTGGGGCCAAGGGCTTCAGGGTGGGGCCACGGGGGCTTGCTTAGTCAGGGGCGGGGGTCTCTAGACCTTCTGAACACCACATGTTTGTCAGAGGACCCAGGGGTCCTAAAATAGGGTCCCACTGCACCTGGTTGGATGGCAGTAAGGGAGGAGCAGAGTTCCTGCCCCGGGGAGGCAAGGGCAGAGCTGCGGCGGGCTGGGGAGGGCAAGCCCCAGATCCCATGACCGCTGGGGAGCCAGTCAGGACGGCCTCAGCCCCCTACTCCCGCCCCACAAAGAGAGCAGGGGTGAAGTGGGCGGGAGGGAGGAAGAAGGGGAAAGGCCCAGGTGCAGTAAGGACCGTGAGAAAAGACAGACGGCGTCTGCAAGTCGGAGACACGCTTCCCACCTGGCTGATGAAGCCGATGACCTGGCCTCGGAGCCAGGAGGGATCGAGGGTTCGCAGGTCCCGCCCATCCAGGGTCACTACGCCGGCCGTGGGGTCGTAGAAGCGCTCGAGCAGGGAAGCCACCGTGGTCTTTCCTGGGGAAGTGGGGTTGGGGGCACGGGGCGGTCAGGGAGGTGGCATGGTTTCTGGAGGCTCTGCCAGGAAAGAGGAACCCCCAGTGACAGGTGAAGGGGCCCCTCCTCCCACCCCACGCTGAGTGGTTACCGTAGGAAGGAAGGTCCTAGGGTGGGAGGGCGGGGGGTTCCTCTCACCTCCGCCGGACTGGCCCACGAGGGCCACGATCTTGCCAGGGGGCAGCGCGAGGCTGAAGTCTTCGAGCACCTGGAAGCCAGGGCGGCAGGGGTAACTGGAAGGAGCCAACGGAGATCCTCAGTTAGACCAGGTCCTGGCCCCTTTCTGCCCTGGCCCCTGCTCGAGTCTCACTGTACCCCGAGGCGGGGCTCGTTTAGAGGGAGACACGGACCCACAGGGCCTCACGTCCCCGTGCCCACCCACTGATGCCGCTGACCTGAAGCAGACGTTGTGGAACGTGACGGCCCCGCGCAGGTGCTCTCTGGGGATGCAGCAGCCCCCAGCCAGCGGAATGCACGGGCTCAGAGTCATGTACTCAAACACCCGGGCACCCGCACTGAGCCCCCGCACCACCTGGGGAGGGGGTTAATTAAAGTCCGAGGTGAGGGAGGGGTGGGGTCTGAGGGCAAGGCTGGCAGTGCAGCCCCATCTCCTGACACCCCTTCCAGCTGACACCTGGTTCCTGCAGCACACAGGTGATGCTGGTTGCTGACAGGACTCCAGCCCAGATCCGATGTCCACACCACGGGGCCCGCCCCCTGACTGCCACTCACCTGGCCGAACAGGACAGAGAGGTTGGCCATGGACCTGTGAGGAGGCGAGAAAGATTCAAAGAGTGGGGACAGGAGCCCCAGAGAAGGCTGGTGCCAGAGGGAAGGGTATGGGTCTCAGCTGCTTGGGGGCGGAGAGGACGTGGCGCGTGAGGCTGGGAAACGGGCAGCCTGAAGGCGAACACAGAGGATGTTCCTGAAATCTGGGACAGCAGGAGCCCTGGGATCCAGCAACACCAGATAGTTCACTGGCAGGCCGCTTCTCCTTGGAACCACGTTATCTCCTTGTTCTCTCCTTGGCCAGATGAAGCTGACAACTGTCTGCCACCTCCGGCCTGGGGGCTCCGGGGAGATGGGCGCGGGAAGCAGGCCCAGGGCCCAGGGGAGCTGGGCTCTGCGCTGCCTGCCTGCACCAACAACACAAGGGAGAGCGCCAGCACCGTGAACAGGTCGGGGCCGCGAGGCCCATGGGGCAAGGTCAGCTCTAGTGCGCTGGACTCCTGGGGGAGCAAGGGCTAATTAAGGTGGAAAATGGATGTTAATCCTTCCAGAGAAAGAAGGAACTCGAAGACCCTGGAGCATGTGAGGGGTGGGGGATGGGCCCCAAAACAAAGTTCCATAGAGACGCTAGCGCGGGCTTGCCCTGTGTAAGGCATGGTGCGAGTGTGTCTCTGTCCAGGGGGGTCACCTCCTCTGCCGTGCAAGGCTGTCGGCTGCTGGAAGGTGGAGAGTCATGGTTCTCAGTCACCGGCCCCTGACCGGGCTGGCCAGTCCGCGACAGTGCGCGTGTCTGTGAGTGTGCATGTCGGTCCTTGAAGTGGAAAAGACTGAGCGCCTTGAACGGGAAAGTCACTTCCTCCAGCGCCAGGGGTGAGGAGGGGAGGGGCCTGCAAGGAAATGGTTCTGGCAGGCTCAGAGAGTTACTGGCATTTGCCGGAGTGAGTGGAGAGGCATTGAGCAAGGAAGAGCCAGGACAGTGAGTTATCTGTGGACGACAAGGGAGAACATCCTCCACAAGAGATCTGGAGGCCATTAGGGCCTGGCAGAGGTGCCCGGCAGCAACCAAAAAGCAGATGCACATGACTCGTTGGTGCGCGATGACCTTGCTCTCAGAGACAGCTCAGGAGGCAGCCCTGAGAGCCCTGGCGGGGGGGCGGCCCATTCCCGGTGAGGCCAGACCTGGATGTAGACCAGGCGGCCTGGCCCTGACTGTGGTCTGTCTGGGTACCTCTCCGTCTCCTCCAGAGACCCAGTGCCACAAAAACAACACCTAGGATGGGGTCTAAAGATTGAGGCTGCCTCCCTCCCCTCCCTTGCCCTGCTGGACCCCAGGAGGAAATACATCAGCCTCCTAAATAGATCGAATTCCTCCAAGGTGGGTGGTGAAGGATCTCCACGTGGGGAGGGCCCCCCACAAAGGATAGTCCTAAGGCCCGTGGCTGTGGGAGCAGCTCTGTGTAGCAGCCAGAGAGAGAGACAGCATAGATGAACTTCCTAGGCTTTTCTGTTTGTAAGAAAGCTCTGCTAACTGGCTAGCCCATGCTGTGGGGAGGAAAGGAAAGGGTCGGAACTCAGGCCACAAAGGGAAGTGGGGGCCCAGATGAAGGGGAGCCTGATGGAGGAGGGCCAGACTCGGAAGGTGTAGGGAAAGGGAGACCTTCCCATCGCTGCCTGTGGAGGGCCACATGGTGACTGTGTGCGTGGACCCAGGCGGGTTTGTCGGGCTCCTCAGGACCAGAGCACGAGGCCAGGGCCTAGCCTGGGGTCTGTGCCAAGTCCCACCTCTGCAACAGTCCTCTCGGTCCCCAGGCTACCAGGGAACAGTTCCCAGGCTGGAGGAGGGATGAGGCCACCCAGGGTCTGAACTTCAGAGAAGGTGTGAATGGGCCCAGATACGGGAGCACCAGACACAAATGGGGCCAAGGATGGGAGTCCTTTCTACCAACCCATCTTCAGACTGGCTCCAGTCTACCTGGGACAATAACAAGGCTGATGACGAGGGGCGCTGTAAGAAACAGGCAGTAAGACACAATGCAGAGCCCGGCCACGAGTGTCGGAAGCAATGGGGGAGGGGCACGGAGGGGAGTTTGGGGTGAGAGTCTGTTCTCTTGACGTGCTTGACAGTAATTCGGGTCTCTGCTCTTCAATGATTTATTACAGCATATTTGCTCCTCTGTTATTCATCACGACATCTACTCATGCTTCACGTGCTCTCACGTATGCGGTGTGGGGGGGGAGATGATGAGAAACTGCAGCAGGAACTGCTAGCGTTTAGCTCAGAAGAGAAAGGAAAGGGGAGGCCTTGGGGGTTTTGAGCAAAGGGAGCCGAGAGGTCCGGGCAGACAGGCCCAGTGGGGCAGGTAGATCGCAGAACAACGAACACAGTGAGCTCCAGGCTGGGAAGGGCAGGGGAGAGGCTGAGCCGCTCAGCCCTGGGAAGGTCAGAGAGGATGGCAGGCGAGCTCGCAAAGAGCATGTCAAAGACGGTCTATCCGTACGTGGAATCTCACTCGGCCTTAAAAAGGAAGGAAATTGACACAGGCTACGCTATGGACAAACCTGGAAGATATTATGCTGAGTGAGATAGGCCCGTCACGAAAGGACAAACGCTGTGCAATCTCACTTACGTGAGGCACCCAAAGTGGGCAAATCACAGACATGGAGGTTGTCAGGGGCTGAGGGAAGGGGTTGTGGGGGCTCAGCATTTAACAGCCGGTTTCAGTGCTGCAGCACGAAGGGCGGGAGACGGATGGTGGTAACGGATGCACAAACTCTATGCTTACAAACGGTTAAGATGGTAAATTTGACATTACGTGTGTTTTGCTACAATGACCAATTTTTTAAGAAGCTGTCTCGGAAATTTCGGAGCCGTTTAGGCGGCCGAAGATGTCAGCTGCATTCCTGAGCGTACGGACGGTGAATCAGGTCACAGGGTGCTCATGGATGGCACGGGGGCACTCTCCCCAGCCAGCCCCCGGGGCGGGCCACCACCCCCTGTCCCTCCACTCAGCAGGGCTCCTGCAGGACGGGGACAGCCTCACACTCACCTCTGCACCGTCTGGGAGGCCACCAGGAAGGACATGAGGTCTCCCCCTGTCAGCTCCTGTCCAGCCACAAGGGAGCCCCCAATAAACAGAGTGCCTAAGACCATGCCTGCGTGTGGAAAGGGACAGACGGTCAGGAAGGCGTCTGCCTGGAATAGCGTCTACCTGTTTCGTGTGGAAACGAGTGTGTGTGTGTGTGTGTGTGTGTGTGTGTGTGCGCGCGCGCGCACGTGTGCATGTGTGGTGGTGGAGCTCACGCACCTGGCACTCCTACAGATGTCTGAAGGACATCGAGCAGGCGGAGAGCCGCCCCTCCCTTGTGTGGCTGGGACCTGCCCTTCACTGCTCCACGCTCATCCCCAGCCGTGACGGGGCGCGCCCACACCCCGGGTGGGGACTTGCTCACTCACAGTTGAAGGCAATGTTGGAGAGCCCCTGGAACAAGGCGATGCCCCTGCCCAGCTCCTCTGCCTTACAGCGGGACCCCTCCAGCTCTGCTCCGTAGCGTCTGGGGAGAGAGGCCAAGCCCGGCTGTCAGGAAGCAGCGGGCTGGGGTGCAGGGCTGCTGGGGTACATTCAGGGAGTCCTCCCTGCTTCATGCTCCTCTCCGTCTGGGACTCACTCCTCTTCCCGATGCTCCATGGCGAAGGCCCGCACGGTCCGAACGTTGCCCAGGGCCTCATCTGCTACGCCTGTCGCCCTTGCAATCTGCAAGGAGTCCAGGAAGTAGGCGGCTGGCTTGGGGACGGGGAGGAATGGCGGGGCAGACAGAAATGGGGAAAGCAAGGATGGCAGGAATGCTGGTACCTGCTCCTGACACTGGCGAGACAACTTTCGGAGAGCTGAGCCCATTAGGGTGCCAACTCCCATAAGAATGGGTGTGGCCACCATCAGCAGCAGCGTGAGGCGGGGGGACAGCATAGACAGGGACACCAGGCAGCCAGCCACCTGGGTGCAGCTTCGCAGTCCCTGGGGGAGAGAAGGGACGCAGGAAGGCTGTTTGGCATCAGCACCACGACACGGGGACTTCACCAAGGGTCCACTGGCTACAGCGGCCAAGGCCGCTTCCCAAGGCCAAGGCCATGAGTCTGACCCTGGAAGGCCAACCGGCAGTCCACCCAGTCATAAAGCATGACCCTTTCTCTCCTAGCAGGCACGAAAGGCCTGGGTGAGAATGTCTATGGACCACAGCCTCCTTCCCCCAGACAAATCCCAATTTGCTTTGCCTTTTGCTTTAGGAACTGAAAAAAAAAAGAATTGAGCAGGAACGTCACCCAGGGACTGCTATGGGCCAGTGTGAGGCATGACCCAGCAGCCACAGTGACCATGTGGGTGGATGAGAACAGGACATCAGTAATGCAGTAAAAAGCCTTTACTCGTTCTCGTTAACACTTGTCAGCATGCCAGGCATTCTGGGGGTAAGGCAGGCCAGGGTGATTTTGCTCTTGGCAAGCCGGTCCAAGAAAGGCTCTTGTCTGAGTCCTTGGGAAGGTTTTCCGGGGAGGTAGAATTTCAGAACAGGAGCGAAACAGCCTGTCCTGACCTTGGACGATACCACAGTACCTCCCTTCCGTGAACTTCCCCACTCCCTCATCCACACCCTCACCAGACAGCAGGCTTCTCACTTGGTGCGAGCCTAGGCTCAGAGCCCAACAGCAAGGCGGGTGGGGCTGGCCTGATGTGTCTACACTGGGGTGTGTGTGTGTGTGTGTGTGTGTGTGTGTGTGTATACACACAGGGGGGCCTGGGGAACTGACCTGGGAGATGACGAGTTTGAAAGATGATTTAAACTCTTGCACATCAGCTGTCAGTCGGCTCACCAGCTGCCCTGTCTTTTTAGCATCGAAGAAAGCAATATCTTGTCTGGTGGTAGATCAAGGGTACAGTAGGTTGGGGAGAAGAGGAGACATTAGTTTAGGACAAGGCCCTGCCCCTACATTTGTCCAGACCTCTGGGGCTAGCAGATCCCCCTGCCCGCACCCTGCACTGGCAGTACCGAAGCAGGTTGCTGAAGAGGGCCCTCCGCATGTCCACGGCCATGCGCTCGCCGATGCGGGACAGCAATACCAGGTACCCGAAGGTCAGCAGGCCCTGGGAGAGAGGCCGGGGCACTCAGGGGCGCCCAGGAGGCTCCTTTGGGTGCCCCCAGGCCCTCCCTCCTGTTGTACCTGAATGCCATAGAGGATGAGCAGGTAGGTGCTGAGATTCCGGGACTCAGTCAGGAAGCTGCCCACATGGTCCCTTGTGTACTTGGCCACAATCTCCACCAGCTGGCCCAGGAGCAGGGGGATCTGCACATTCACCAGGGCCGCACCCAGTGCCAGCTTGGGGAGGGGGAAGCAGACATTTAGAGGGGGCCATATTCTTCCCCATCCCTGGCCCTGACCTTGGCCCTCCCTCTCCTGCAGCTGTTCATGTTTGGCTAACTGTGTGCTTCTTCGAGTTCCAGCCCAGGCTGCCAGAGCCTGGGGATTCCTGTACCCTGCACAGCCAGCTGCCCTGTGCGGAATCGCCTGGCATCCCTTGGCTTCCAGTCCCTAAGGCAGCCAGCCCTTGCTGCTTCCTGAGGTCTATCCTGAGACTTGGTGAGGCAGACAAGCTGCCCCTGTGCAGCTCCAGCTGGTGCTTCTGCAAACCCCTGGCTGGGTCCTTCCCTGTCCCTGATGTGGGCGAAAGGGGAGGGGCATCTCACCACGATGGCTGCCGCCAGGACCAGCAGGTGGGGGCGCAGAAACTGCCAGAAGAGCTTCCAGTTAAAGCGGGAATCCCCGACACAAGGTCTGGAGCAGGCAGGAGGGGCCTCTTCTGCCTCACACAGCGCCACAAGGCAGAAGCGGGGGCACTTACTCAACAGCACGGGGCCCAGAAGGATGCCCCCAACCCAGCGCCAGGCAGAGGGTCTTTGGCTGGGAGCTGGAGGCGCTCGAAGGAGGTGAGCCCGGAGCTGGGAGCGCAGCTGGGCCACAGCCCTGAGGAGGTAGGAGCTGTGGCGGCCATCAGAGCACCTGTAGGGAGACAATGGCATCGATGGCTCACGGCCCCGAGTGAACTTCAAGGGAGCAATCAATCAGGCCGGCTCTGGGCTGAGGCCTCTGGACAGCATTTCTTCCTCCATAGGGTCCTACGCGACCCCTCCCAGGGCTGTTCTTTAGCACCTCAGTTTCTAAGAGAAACACATTGAGGCCAAGTCGCTGAGGAGCAAGACAATAGTCGGTAACCAAGTCGGAAAGGTGCTCTCGCCGTGCCATCAGACAGCTGGGCCCCCTCAGCCTCCAGGGACCCCTCTGGTCAGGGGCCATCTCCAGCCCACGTTCTTTCTGATCATGGGACATCACTTTGGACGGCAGCTAGTCTGCGGGCACTCCTTTTACAGCTGAGGAAGCAGAGGTCCTAAGTGAATCTGGGTCAGAGAGGCAAGAGGAGAGTGCCCCCTGGCCACACCCGGCACTGGGCTGGCTTGCAGTGGCGATGCCTGGCCCACGTGGCCTCCATGTTGCCAGTCAATGGTCCGGCTGTGTTTGATCCTCCCTTCTCTGGGAGGGAGACGCCCTTATTCTCACTTGATGGAAGAGAATGTCACGGGGACTGAGAGAGCTGGAATAATTTGTCCCCAAGCAGCAGAACCTGGACAAGAGGGGAACCCTGCTGTGTGACTCCAGAATCCAGGCTTGTTCTAGTCTGCCACGTGTGCTGTGCCCAAGGCTGGGTGTGGCAGGGCCTGGACCGGCCCCGTGTCTTCTGACCCCTGGTCACTGTTCATTGCACCCCAACACCCAGACTCCTCCCAGGCCCCGAGTGCTTATGTGGCAGCGTATGGAGAAAAACGGTGACACACTCCCTCTCTATCAACTGAAGGAGAAAAAAGAAATTAACAATCCAAATAATGTATCTCGTCATCTCAGACCGGCCCAAATCACCTTCTCTGGTCTGCGGTTTCTGCATCGATACGCGGTGATGTCGGGTAGAGAGCCTACTGCGTGCCCACACTCTGCTGTGAGGCACGGGGAACAAGAGGTAAACAGAACAGACCATGTAACTACCCTCATGGTGGGAAGGACTAACAGCTAATGACAAAGCTTGCTGAGTGTGAAAAGGGGAACGGCAGGTGCTCAGAGCACAGACCACGAATTCCCTGGGTGAGGGCATCAGGAGAGGCCTTCCTGACCAGACCCGAGGGAGAATGGGAAGGAGCTGGCTAAGTGAAGGTGGTGGGGACAAAGTGGGGGAGAGCTGTAGGCAGCGGGGAGCGTGTTTGGGACATGTGCAGGTACGAAAGAAGGAAGAGCTGGAACCTGAAATACAAGGGAGAGGAGACATGGGCAGGACAGGCATCGAAGTTTTTATAGGACAGCTGGACTTTAGAGGGCAGTGAGGACCATTCGTGGCTTTTAGGCTGAGGTATGACATAATCAAATCTGCATCTTAAAGATCACAGCAGAGGGGAGAAGGCTGGAGAAGGGCAAGCCTGGCTACGGGGACCCTGTTACAAGCAGAAGTTATTTGGCCAAGAGTAAATGGTGGGATGTTCAAAGATTCAAATGAGGTTCTCGATGGGGAGAGGCTTTTTTTTTTTTTTTTTAATTTTTTTTTTCAACGTTTATTTATTTTTGGGACAGAGAGAGACAGAGCATGAACAGGGGAGGGGCAGAGAGAGAGGGAGACACAGAATCGGAAACAGGCTCCAGGCTCTGAGCCATCAGCCCAGAGCCTGACGCGGGGCTCGAACTCCCGGACCGCGAGATCGTGACCTGGCTGAAGTCGGAAGCTCAACCGACTGCGCCACCCAGGCGCCCCGGGGAGAGGCTTTTAAAAACCAATACGGGGACGCCTAGGTGGCTCAGTCAGTTAAGCGTCTGGCCTTTGATTTTGGCTCAGGTCATGATCTCATGGTTCGTGAGATCAAGCCCTGCATCAGGCTCCGCGCTGACAGCGTGGAACCTGCTTGGGATTCTCTCTCTGCCCCTCGTACGATCTCTCTCTCAAAATAAATAAATAAACATTACAAAAAAAACACAACAACACAAAAAGGGTCACTTGGGTGGCTCAGTGGGTTAAGCATTCCACTCGTAATTACAGTTCAAGTCATGCATAATCTCACAGTTCATGACATTGAGCTCTGCACTGGGATTTCCTCTCCTCTCTCTGCCCCTCCCCTGCTTGCACGCATTCACTCGCTCTCTCAAAATAAATAAACATTAAAAAAAAAAAAGGAATAAATAGAATGAGGTTTTTCCTTATTCGGATGGTCTTTTGTGTTCTCAGATGCTCCCAACTGCAGACTCCACCTAATTTTTCCCTTGTTTCAAGGAGGCCCGGGTCCTCTCTGTTATGCCTCCTTCCACCCCATTCCACATGCCTGGCTTTTATGTCTCATTTTCCACTGTGTACTTTATGTCTACCCTAAATTTTAGAGAAGCTCATCTTCCTTCTGCCCAGTGTAATCGTCCAATTTCCCCATGAGACTTTATATTCCTCGAGGGCAGGAAGCTCTATCTTATCCACATTCACCCCCAGCACTTAGCAGAGTTCTTGTACATAACAGATATTCAGCAAACGGTTATGGTTATGTTTGTTGAGTGCATGCCCTTGTTAGAAATGCAGAAGGGAGGGGAGCCTGGGTGGCTCAGTCGGTTAAGCGTCCGACTTTGGCTCAGGTCATGATCTCACGGTCTGTGAGTTCGAGCCCCGCGTCGGGCTCTGTGCTCAGAGCCTGGAGCCTGCTTCAGATTCTGTGTCTCCCTCTCTCTCTGACCCTCCCCCATTCATGCTCTGTCTCTGTCTCAAAAATAAATAAAAACATTAAAAAAAAAAAAAAAAAAAGAAATGCAGAAGGGAAAAATCTGACCTGTCCTGTTACTGCATTGTTTGCAAGTTGTAGACTTACTGAGGCCTACAGTAAGAAGTATGTTGTAAATTGCCACCCAGTACAATAAACACAGGTCACACAAAATTGAAATGCTTCACAAAACAATACTCTCCCTAATGTTAAAGCGGGTATTCTATTCTATTCACTTGTTTTAAAAAGTAGGCTCCACACTCAACGTGGGGCTTGAACTCAGACCCTGAGATCAAGAGTCACACGCTCACTAGGCACTCTCTATTACATTCACTTTTACATGATCCTACGCACTACGTTCATTTTCTGATCTACTGTGTTGTGACTTGCACATTTGAAAGACATTGCACTCGTGGGCACACAAATACTTGCATATTATCTGAGGTTTCTCTCCGGGTTTCTCTCTGGTTTAAATGATATCAACACCCTTACTCCCTTCCTAAGGAGTGTTTCAAGCATTTTAATAATTTACCATGGTTACTTTCCAGCTTCTCTCATCTCCTCCAAACTAAGACTCTAAGCAAGGCTTGGTCACTGCCAAGAACTGGCAAATTACTTCCCAGCAACGGTACTTCTAGCTCCAGCTTGGCCCAGCTCTTCTCCTCTTTCAATCAGATGGGCTTTCAAAATGACACAAGTCCCTATCAGCTCACCCCTGCCAATCTGCTGCCTTCCTGGCCCACAGGTTATTCACTCCAGGATCAGAAAGGAATCCGTCCCTTCTCAAAAGCAGTTACACTGGAGTCGCAGTTTCAGGGTCCACGTTGGTTTCCTACCTGCCTCTCTCTCTCAGGACCAACGTGTGTAAACACACAAAAACACACATGTATGTGTTTCTAGATTTTTTTTTTTTAATCTCTGCTGAAAACATCCAGATCTAGGAACAATTTCTGTTCAGCTCATATTGAATCTTGGGAGCAACACCAACACTAAATGTCTCTGGACACTAACAGTTTTTGTCCAAATTGCCAGACCAATTCCAAGAAAGAGGACAGGGAGGGGGCAGGAACAGCACCCAGGCTCGACACCTGGCGCCCTCTGGTGGGAAGCACGGACCCGATGTGGTCACCGACCTAGAGCGTTCACTCCGCGCAGCCCACAGGCGGATACAGACGGGCCGAGTCTCCTGCTGGCACCTAGGTAGTCGCTATAAATAACTGAAGCCAATCCCTGGGGAGTGACATTCTACCCCCGGGCCGGCCTACAACTTCCAGCAGGCCTCGCGCGAGCCCGGGACTCCATGTCCCGGCAGGCCCCACGCCCCGCCAGCCGGTCAACGGCCCGCGCTCCCAGTAGGTTTGTCACTTTTTACCTGACGGCCGCGAATGTCTGGAAGCGGAGGGGTAGTATCAGCCTGCCTGGGACAGGGCCACCCCGAATTCCGACCCGAAATAAGTGCACCAACATGATGGGACGTGAACACAGGAGCAGCCGGCAACGGCAGCTTCACCCTCATCCCATTGAGGGCTCCATGTTGGCGCCGGCCCCCATCCCGACAACCCCCTCGCGCCTCGGCGACGATTGGCGGAAAGACGCATCAATCTCGTCGCAAGCTGTGATTGAAGAAAGCCTTTTCGGTCCTTCTTCTTCCGGAAGTGTGATTGGACAGAGCCGACTATCCGCCCGCCCCCGGCTGTGGGCGGGGCCGAGCAAGTGAGGCATTGCTTTCCGCCTACTGCCCGGGCCAGCCCTGGGGTGACTTTAGCAGTGTGTGCTTCGTGCGACCCTCCATCACGGGGGTTATCCATAGTAACGCGCCAGCGTTACCCGGGACCTCAGGGTTGCTGGTCTATGGGTGCTGCCGGCGGACTCTAGATGTCCCAGGACTTCTAAGGAGTATAGAGTGTTGGTCCTAGGGAACGAAGGGACCCAAAGGGGCCTGGGGAATTTTTTCAAAACATGAGCGCGTTCCATGTGATGCATCCCTTTCTCCCAGACAGATCAGAGCTCCAGGGATGGCAGCCACGAGTATTTGGGAAAAAAAATTATCCTGGTGATTCTGATACACTCCGCCTACTCGACGATTGAGAACCACTAGTGTGGAGGTCCCGTATAGCTTATGGAGGCACGCCCCCCCCCCATCCTTCTTTCCCACAGATGCCTTCTTACCGCAGTCAGGGTGGCTTGTCTAAGGACCCCACCTCCCAGCTTTTGCACCTCCGTTAAACACTTATTTATTTCTTCCGTGTAATTTGCATAGTTACCCTCCCCCCCCCCCCCCTCCCCCTCCACGGTCTATGACTTCTTTCTGGGTAGTGATTCTGGCTCATTCATCCATACTCCCTTCCCCTCCAAGTGATGCCTGATAGAGAAAAGTGCCCTTTATAATAAATTAACTTGAATTGGGGTGCTGGTAGGGCAGCTGTCAATGAATGAATCAGGGGGGATACTGGGTATGAAAATGTGCCAGATTAGCTTGAGGTTGGGCTGGGTGTATGGGAGGGGTCCTAATGTGAATGTGGTGGAATACTGGGGGGAGGGAGGTTGAAAAGAGATCAGGCAAAACCCTACACAACCTGTAGGCAGATGTCTTGGCAGAAGTCTCTGAGATATGAGAATTTCCTAGCCTCTGCAATGTGGGATACCATCTTGGGCACTAGGATGCCACCTCTAGAAGGAGTTCTGCCTCCTGCTCAGGGATAAAACTATGCAAGCCCCGAGCTACTTTAACAATTCCTGTCCCAGGAAGGCAGCACAGAAGGAGAAAAACAGGCATATCTGGTCTCGTGTTTTGTGAGCAATTCCATGATTGCCTCCACATTCCTCCAGTGAACACACTCTAGGAAGCACTTTGTTCCTCTCTCTGTTTCACAGATACTGTCCCCTAAGACAGCCCTCAGGCCCAAGCCCTGCAGGCCCTGACACCTGGGCAGCTGAGTCAGCACCTCAGGAATGGGCTTTAGTAGCAAACCTGGTGATTCAGGGCCCCAGGAATGGCGTCGAACATGCCAACAAACCAGCTGCCTCCTTCTCCTCCTTGAGGTGGCAGAAAGGAACTCAACCAGCTCATCCCTGGGTATGCAAATTATCCTTCCTGATCCTGGCCCCCCAGCTGCCCTCTGCTGGTTCAGCTCTGATGCTTCTCAGGGGGCCCCCAAAACTGGATGAGGACTGGGGAAGAGAGTTTCGGTGTTTCCCAAGATAAAGAGGAAGACAAAACGGAACTCCCAAGGAGCCTTTTTCTACCGAAGCTCCCCAAACCACTCCTCACTTCTGGAATAGCTCTCTCCTTTCTTTACCTCCTCCCTTTCCTCAGTTTCCTGCAACCTGGCTGCCCAGTCTGGCAATCTCCCCTCCCCTTCGTATTGGCAGGCAAGCAGAACACCAGCCTTTTCTTTTGTTTTTTCTTCTTTTTGCTTTTGGTCTTAAAGCCTTTCTCTGTGGATCCCTGTGTGCATGTGTAGAGAGAGGAGACCAGGTTTCAAGAAATCAAAGATGTAACATCTTAGCCTCATAGCCTTAGAATCCTTTGGTAGGAGTTTCTTTCGGCTTTGTTATTTTGGCTGCTACTTTCTGGCCTTCCCTTTAAATCCATTCCAGGTCTGAGGAGGGGACAGTAGGTGTCTCTGGTCTGCATGTTCTCCGCCTCTGCCTCTCCAGCTTGTGCTCCTCCCAGGCACAGAGGCTTGGCCGTGACAGGTTTGGCCGCAGATTGCCCTGGAAGGGGTGTGAGTTGTCAGACAGGTGACTGCTGGCTTGGACGCCTGAGGCCTGCCCTGACTGAGTCACCTTGCTGTTGTTGTCACCATCCTTGCTGGAGTCCCTGCTCAGCAACCCAGACCTCTGTGGATACGGCAGCAGCTCCCATCCGTCCGAGCTTTCAGGAGAAGCTACTGGCCCGATGGTGAGGCAAGTGGGCTGGGGGGGGAACCGAGGGCGGCTGGGGCGGTGGGGAGACCTGGGGCCTGGATCAGTGCCTCTCCTCCCCATGCCGCTGCCCCCTCTCCCTCCTCCTCCATGTCGGGGGCCTGGCAGAGGGCGGATTTCCATCTTCTCTCTGTCCCCTGCCCCTCACACAAGAAGCTCCCCTTCCTCGGTCCCTCCCCCGGCCCTGGGACCCCCCTGCCCAGCGATGCAGGCCCCAGGGGGCTCTCAGCCTCCCCACAGTGCCCTCCCCACCCCAACAACGCAGGCAGGGCCCGCGATGACACCCAGCTCTGCTCCCCCCTCTTGGGGCTCCCACTCCACCCCACCCCTGGCCCCAGTGACTCCCCCTCCCTCGCACCGATGCCCCCAGGACCCTCCTGGGCTGCGGATAGGGCCTCTGATCCCTGAGCAGGATTATGAGCGGCTGGAGGACTGTGACCCCGAGGGGTCCCAAGATTCACCCCTCCACGGGGAGGAGCAGCAGCCCCTGCTCCATGTGCCCGAAGGGCTCCGAGGTGAGTGTGGGTGTGGGGCTGCGAGGGGAGCACGCTGGGGAGGGCCTGGGGGCTCCCGAGGATGTGAACTGGGCGCTCAGGGGAGAGCCAAGTCCCAACAGTCTCACCCCTGTGCCCAGGCTCCTGGCACCACATCCAGAACCTGGACAGCTTCTTCACCAAGATATCCTTTGTGCTCGGCCTGGCAGCACTGGCGTGGGAGGGCCCTTTGGTGCTGGTGCCATTCTTGGCCGGCGGCTCTCAGGGCGCAGTGGGTTGCGGAAGTGAGGGAGAGGTGTCTTCGACAAAGGCCCTTCGTGCCTCAGGGTTCTTTCTTGACGCACCGCCACATCTATAGCTACCACCAGAGGAATGGCTTTGCCTGCATCCTGCTGGAGGATGTCTTCCAGCTGGGGTGAGATGCTTGTCCCAAGCCCCAGACTCTGTCACCTTGCTCCCTCAGCAGTGCCTGCTGCTTTTAGTCCGTGTCGCACCCCACCCAAGCAGCCCAGAGGCTCGGCAGGGAGGGGAGGACCCTCAGGGCTGACCTGGAGGTTGGGGCAGGAGCCTGCCCTGCCCTCAGACCTGACCACTGCACTGCCTGTCTCCCAGACAATTCGTCTTCATCGTCACCTTCACAACCTTCCTCCTTCGTTGCGTGGATTACAACATTCTCTTCGCCAACCAACCGAACAACAGGACGACACCTGGCTTGCTCCACGGCAAAGTCACCTTGGCAGATGCCATCCTGTCCTCCTCCCAGTGTGCCCAGCGGTGAGTGACAGCTGGTGGGGGGAGCGTGGAAGGGGGAGATGAGCAGACAAGCAGACAAGCACCGCCCCCCCCGTCCTTTTGTCCTTTGGTCTAAATCAGCAGTACTCCCAAGTTTTTGGTCTCAGCACACGTTAAATGCACTTAAACTTGATCAAGAACGCCCAAGAGCATTTGTTTATGAGGTATATTTACCTCATTCGAGACCTAAGCTGGGAATAGCTTTAAAATCTAAGAATACACCAGCACACGTTCCATCAGCTGCCGATGTGGTGTCACACACGTAGCTTCTGGAAAAGTCCACTGTATGCTCATGAGAGAATGAGCACGAAAACGGCAGAAAACCTTCGTCTTACCTGAAAAAAGTTGGGACCTTGCCGACACTTGTAAGGGCCTCAGGGTCTCCCAGGGCCCACACGCTGAGAGCTGCTGGTGGAGCTGGGTCCCTCTCTCTGTGACTTTTCCCTCGCTCCCCAAGTCTAGTCTCCCTTTCTATTGGGCCCCCACTTTCTCTCTGCTATCTGTCCCACCCCACACAGGATCCGCTCCAGCCCCCTGCTGGTTTTCCTTCTGATCCTGGCTGCAGCCTTCTGGCTGTTACAGCTGCTTCGCTCAGTCTGCAACCTCTTCAGCTACTGGGACATCCAGGTGTTTTACAGGGAGGCCCTGCACATCCCCCCGGTGAGCTGGGCAGGCGTGTCTGTGGAGGGGTGCCTTGTCAGGGGTGGGGACAGAGAATAGGGAGGAGCGGGGGCTGCACAGATGGAAGGGCCCACTGGAAAGCAGGCAGAAGGCCTCGCTGACGCCTGCCCAGGCCCTGAGTAATGTTAGGAGAAGAGGTACCACCACTTACTTCTAAGGCTTGGTCCTTACCCGAGTGGAGTTTTGTTGACTTGGATTACAGCTGATGATTTAGGGTCACATGCTTGTGCTCCAAACAGTGGATATTTAGAGGAAGGGCGGTCATCCAACTTTACAGGGCAGGAGGAATTTGGGTGGGGCTGGGAAGGATAGGAGGTGGGAAGGCATTCGAAGGCCCGATGCAGGAGGTGGGGGGGTGGTGAGCATCTGTGGGCAGCAGTGAGGAGTGGACCCACCAGCCCGCAACTGAGTGGTCAGGCCCCGTTGGGTGATATCCCCCCCCCTCCACTTTCTGGCCTCCCTCACGATTGCAGTGAGCCACTGTGTGGGCCCCTTCACTGTCCTAGTTCATGCTTTGCCCTTTCTTTCCTCCCCATCTCGTTCGTGCTCCTTCTTACTCTGTTCTCCAGTTCGTTCTTTAAGGCTCAGCTCAAAGGCTGTCTTCTGCAGCCTGCTTCCCTTGCTCCCCTCAGAAGCGCAGAACCTTCCGCATGGCTCTCCTGCAGGGCCAAGGGGAGAGGTTTCCAAAAGGCCCCTCGAGTGGGGGAGCACAGGCAGAGTGCAGGGAGGATGGAGAGGGCCAGGGGAGCACCGGTGGGGGAAGGCAGGAGTTAGAGCACTGCTTCTCCAGGAGGCTGCTGACCCTTCTCTTCCTCCTCCTCCCTTCTTTCTCCCCCTCCCCCATTCCTTCCAGGGGAAGGGGAGAGCCTGGGATGGACTGGAGAGGCTGGCCTGGAGGGACTTGACTAAGCCGGACTGGGGCAGCTGGGTGAAACTGGGCTAACGTGAGGTTTGCAGATGAGACCCAAGTGAGATCTGACAGCACCCCACCCAGACATGGACACAGCCGGTGTCTTAGGAGGGTTAATGGGCGGTGGAGTGGGTTGGGGCTGGGGGCGGGGGGGTCGGTCTCAAAGCATGCTGAGATAAGAGGTGGTGAGGCTTCAGGTCCTGTGTTGGCCTGCACCCTAGGGCTGGGAAGGAGAGACAGTTCCCAGGTCCCAGCAGCAGTTCTGTGCCCTCTGTGAAGAACCAGGGCGGGGAGGTTTCAGAAAATCTGCTCCTGAGAAGCTGAGACCAAATACCTGAAGAAGTTAACTTACGAGGTGTCCCTGGGAAGCACAAGACTCATGGGCCTTGAGAGTGGCAGGAGCAGGAGGAACACAATTCAGGAGACAATGAAGGGAAATAAGCGCCCCGGTCAGTGACAAGGTTAGAGGAGGGCAAGAGAGGGCAGAACGGGAAAGGCGACAGGTTTCGCCCCTTGAACGACACTGGGCGAGGAAGGTGGGGAGAGGGCAGACGAGGGAGGTAGCTCCGTCAAGGTGAGTTTGGGCATCACCGCGCCGAGGAACCCAGCTGACGCTCAACAGCCCCCTCTCCTCAGGAGGAACTCAGCTCGGTGCCCTGGGCCGAAGTTCAGTCCCGCCTGCTGGCGCTGCAGAAGAGCGGGGGGCTGTGCGTGCAGCCGCGGCCGCTGACCGAGCTCGACGTCCACCACCGCATCCTGCGCTACACCAACTACAAGGTGGCGCTGGCCAACAAGGGCCTGCTGCCCGCGCGCTGCGCGCTGCCCTGGGGAGGCAGCGCGGCCTTCCTCAGCCGCGGCCTGGCGCTCAACGTCGACCTGCTTCTCTTCCGCGGGCCCTTCTCGCTCTTCCGCGGGGGCTGGGAGCTGCCCGACGCCTACAAGCGCAGCGACCAGCGAGGCGCCCTGGCCGCGCGCTGGCGGCGCACGGTGCTGCTGCTGGCCGCCGTGAACCTGGCGCTGAGCCCGCTGGTGCTGGCCTGGCAGGTGCTGCACGCCTTCTACAGCCACGCGGAGCTGCTGCGGCGCGAGCCGGGGGCGCTGGGGACGCGCCGCTGGTCCCGCCTGGCCCACCTGCAGCTGCGCC